AAAAAAAAAAAAAAAAAAGATCTGTATTATATATATAATTGATTCTAGTTCCAATATAAATTGGAACTACACCTGCTAGTTTAAAATTATGGATCTGCGTTTGATCCAGAAGCTTCTCTTTTGTGATTTTTCTTGATATTTTAAAAAAGGGAGACAGGTAAAGACTTTATTTATTCATCCAATAAGATAAATTAAAGTGGACATTAGTTGAGAGTTGAGAGGGTTCTTAAAGTCCTTGAAAATGACTTAAACAAACGTTTAGCTTGTTAATATGTATCGACCTCGGCTCGCGATATTCCAAAATATGTCGCACATCATTGGTCCCAAACTGGAAATAATCAGAAGAGTTTCTTCTACACTGTTCTCATATTATTGGCGGATAGTGCACACTTTCCTTATGCAATAGTACAATTTAATGAGAAAACTAATACTCCCTCCCTTCCCTGTGACGGAGTTTGGATTTCGACAGTCAAATGAGTTTTTCTTTACTGTAATCCTTTATGTAATTTGAATTATTAATTATTGTAACTTATAATACTTTTTATGTAATTTCTAAATATAATTATTTTAAAAAACTTAAAAATTCTATATCCGAATTCACGGGCAAAATTAACAAGTTTGACTCTCAAAATTTGAGCTTCGCCATATAAATTAGGACAGAGGGAGTAGAATTTATGAAAATAAAAATTACAGCTTGTTTGGATGGTTGTTATGTATCGTTTCATAATGTGTTGTATTGTACTGTATCGTTTTGATGTATATAATATTTGGATAGATTGTTGTTTGCCATCGTTTTATGATGTCATGCACCAACAATATGAAGAATAAACTTCCAATATTATATAGAAAAAGTTAGATACAAGATAATATTATTATAAAAAAAAAGTAGGGTAAAGGATAAAATAGGATTATTTAATAATAAAAAAGGCAAGATGAGAGAAAAGAAAGGTAACGACGCGACCACACCAAATCAGTCGCTCCATAAAGTGACACTTTCTATCGTTATGTAGCGACAGATTTTAACAATATGATATATCAAAATTTAAGTAATAATCAAAACAAATATTATATTTAAAGTAGCAATACGATACAATACATCATGTAACAACTAGAGGTGTACATAGGTCGGATTGGTTCAGATTTTTCAATTACCGAACCAAATCAATGGTGTCGAATTTTTAAATTTATAAACCAAACCAAATCAATAAAGTCGGGTTTTTCAATCTCAGATTTTAGGTTATTTTCGGGGTTTTTTTTCTAATAAAGTCTTCATAGCACAAAATATGTAATTTGTGCTCCAAATATTCTTTAGTCCCAGTAGGATACAACTATATAATATATTTTTCAAGAAAATAACACAATAATATGAGATGAGTGCCACGACCCTAAAACTGACCCGGTCGTGATGGCGCCTATCGTGAAACTAGGCTAGCCGACACAAACCAAAGACCAACCAGAAAATCATAAGAAGTCATTTTTGAGCCATTAATTAACAAAAATCCCACAATAAAAGTTTAAATGAGCAGTGCGGAAATATAACACAAACCCGACCTCGGGGTGTCACCAGTCATGAGCAACTACAAACTCGTCTAAGAACAAGAAAGGCTAACATAGTCCGAAAATAAAATACTAAGACAATCCGAGTAAGATAAGAAGGAGAAGTGCAGGGCTGCGAACGCCAAACAGCTACCTAGCCAACTCCGGAGACCTGCTGAAAGACTGATTAGCACTCACTATCGCGTCCGAGACTCCTGGATCTGCACACAAGGTGCGGGGAGTAATGTGAGTACGCCAACTCAGTAAGTAATGAAAGTAAAAGCATCTAAGTAGTAAGAAAACAGGTAATTCCACGTCACAGCACTACAGCAAAACAGTATATGTCCAGAACAATACAGAAAATCAATTAACTCGTAAAAACAACTCAGTTCAGTAAAACCTTTTTAAAACATCTTTCAATAGTTTCGACAAGTGGTAAAACAGTGAGAAAAATGATAGAAACTTAAACAGCCCCTCGGGCAAAACATGTACCATAAACCACCCCTCGGGCTACCTCACATTCACTCGTAATCAGCCCCTCGGGCAACAATATGGATCAACAATAGCCCATCGGGCTACATCACATCACTCACACTGGGTACCCGCGCTCACTGGGGGGTGTTTAGACTCCGGAGGGGCTCCTACATCCCAAGCGTTATAACAAGTCATCTCGTGGCATAATAAATCAGGCCCTCGGCCTCTCATATATCACAACTCAGTACAATATGCTATGGCGCGCAGCCCGATCCCATAATGTCCTCACAACACAGGCCCTCGACCTCACTCAGTCAAAAATCTCTCAAGCCACTCGGGCAACAGTGAAATAGAATGCTCAGCCCAAATTATCATTTAAAATATCAAAGCGGAGTAAATACGGCTGAGTTATGAAATCAGTAAAATACAGCATGACTGAGTACAGATATTAAGTCAAAACAGTGAGGAATAGTAGTAAAAAGCGCCATAAGGGTCCAAAACAGTTGGCACGAGGCCTAAATATGGCATTCCGCCCAAAACATAGCAATACTTTCCAAAACACAATGATATCAAACAGTTTTCAATCAAATACGTGACTTAACCGTCGTACGGGACGGACCAAGTCATGATCCCCAATGGTGCACGACCCCACGCTCGTCATCTAGCGTGTGCGTCACCTCAAAGTAGCATAACGATGTGAAAT